TTAATAATAAAAAAATGGGAATTTAAAATCATGTGATTGTGTAGAGTTTGTGACTATATGGGAGGTGACTATATGGAAGGACGATTGTAATTGAATTATGATTTCGTGAGATTCGCAACGCAATTGTACCATAATGGAAAACAGAATTTCGGTAATTATTGAAAAATCTAATAATTTGTGATTCAATAATTCAAGTAAATTCGAATAAATTGATTCAATCAGATGATTCGAGTATTTTTCTGAGCTTAATTTGTGAATCATGAGTTGAGATGAATCAATCTTTAATTACTCTTATGTATTATTGTTATATAATAGTACTGTATATACCAGATACTAAAAATTCAATCCGTACAACGTCCCTAAATTAGGATCATTTCTATTGCCCCATTACTTTATTAAGTAGTAGGTCATCATTACATTACTTCATTAATTAGTAGGTCATCACTACATTATTGTTCTCTCATTCTTGATAATTGGGTTGGGGTATATATATAAAGGTGTAATAACTTTCACTCCCCTTAATGATTATAATGATTATTATCTAAAATTGTCATAAGTCTCTTCCCGGGGCACAATCACGTGGGTACACAGTTTTAACAACCCCAAATTTGCATTTGTGCTCTGGTTTACAACCTATTTATAGCATAAAAAGAATTTCAAAATTGATTGTGTTTTTTCGCATTTCAAGTGGAGGATATACGGCTAAAGTATTGTTTTGACTAAGCATAAAAGCACTTGAGTATATTTTTCAGACAGAGGATATACGGTTAAAGAAGTAATAAAGTTTGCCAAAAAAATTACCAATTGTTCAATTCCTGAAGTAGTGACCCTGTGATATTGGATTAACACATGTAGAACAGTTCCAGGATTCTTGGTTGAAGACAAAGTATATTTTAACCAACTATGAATACATCCAATTACTTTGGTTGTAATGGTAATTCTTATTCAATTTCACAGTTTTTTTTTGACTATAACTTGCAAGTTCATAATCTATTTGGATTTTTAAAGCTTGAATCATACATAAAAGACAAAAAAGAATATTCATCTTATCATATATTTTTAAGAAACCACCATGATATGATAATTGCTTCATTGTTACCTGATGATACATCAGTTAGTCTTGATGGTAAATGGTCTCGCTGGTTTATAAAAGAGGCAGCTAAATAGCTAGACAATAATATGTTAGTGGCTGTGAAAAATAAAGTGTGTTTTTTTTTATTTTTACAAAGAGTGAGCAACTCCTACTAGACAGGTTTCGACTAGGAGAAGTACCAAGTTTTTAGATACTGGTCGCTAGATTCGGAATTTGGGTGCCACTACTCTGTTGAGGATAGATAGGTTTAGACATTTGGGAGGTCAAAGGTAGTCACTCCTTTATGCATTTTCACATTATATAAACACTAAGCTCTTGATCATAGTATACCCCACCTCTCTTTCTCTTTCTATCCTTCTTATACCCTCTTTTACTCTTTCTATACCTCTCTTTACTTCTCTCTTGTTAGATTTGAAAGGTCAAAGGTAACCACTTCTTCATGCATTTTCACATTATATAAACACCAAACTCTTGATCATAGCATATTTTATATCTCTTTCTCTCTCCATCCTTCTTTATACCTTTTTTTTACTTTTTCTATACCTTCCTTTACTTTCCCCTTGTTAGATTTATAGATAATAAAAAGCTTCTAATACTATTTTTAGCCAAATTTGGGTGGTGACATTTGATGTTCTAATGTCTGCAGCCTTACTGTCAATGTTAAAGGTCTATTAATTCAAAAAAAGAGAATTGGAATCTTTAATGATAATTCAAAGAAAGGAGAATTGGTTATGGATCCTTAATTACTAAGTAAAAAAATTAACATATTCTAACACCTCTTTTTTAATACTGTAGGTCAGGAATGAATGTAATAGTCTTAAAATATATTGAAAAGAAATCTTATCATCGTATAATAAAGAAAATATACCAATAACTACTTCAACTAGCAAAGAAGAAATTCTAAGTATATAATTTATCTATCATCACTATATGGATGTAACGGAAATCCAAATTTGTTGTATAGCATTTCTACTATACAGTTATATACGTATTTGTTATTTGATTTAAGTTACATTTAATTATATAAGGTAAGGGGGGTATTATAATGCAGGACCAATTATAACGCACTCTCAATATCTTGTGTTCCACTAGCTCGAATTGAATGATTTTGGTACTATTTGATTCATCTCGACGAGACGAGCCAAATGGTACCAAATTCATGTGATTCTGATTATCAGATCACGAGATGCCACGGTTTCAATCAAAACATAGCCAAGTATTTCTTTGAATCTTCGTGAAGCACAAGAGTAATACATATAAAAAATAATATATATACGATATAAATAATAAAAAGTTGATCATAAAGCGCCTGTCATGTTTTTAAGGTTTATTGCTGTATTACTTAGATTTAAATAAATTATATTTTTTTAAAAACTTTAATTAATTATATAATAAGAACGGGACGCTAATGCATCTGCATGTTTTGGATTAATTTCTAAAAATTTATTTAAATTCATGTAATTCTTCATATCAAATAAAATACATTCAAACAAAATAAATAAAATGCATGTATGCAATTCTTTATTGTTTTTAAGTGTAAGTTAAATTATCTGTACCGAATTCGGATATGTGGGCTTGGTGCTGCAAAAAGAAACGAAATTGACAAAAAAAAAAGATCTTCAGAAAATTAATTTTTATGTTATAAACTTTATAATAAATCATAAAAAAATGCAACTTTAAAGAGCTATACTATAAAATTTTATTAATACAACTATCTTTGTGTCTTAATTAAAAAATAATTCTAAACTTATTTTAAATTGATTTATGTAAAAAAATATCATTTGAAAAAATTGTCAATTTCATTCCTTTTTATAGCACCTAGCCTATATAATATAAAAATCACATTCCTTAACCAAAGTATATTTACTTACCATCAAACTACAAATCAAACTTAAATCCTAACCCAAATACATTAAATTTGGCGGAAATAGGAGACCTTTAGGATATAAATCGGGTTAATATAGGCATTCAAAACATTTCAGAATGCCGATAGCTCAATTGGTAAATCGATAAAGCTATAAGGCAAGCTTTATCAATTTACAATTGAGCTATTGGCATTCCGATATGTATTGAACACCTATATTAACCCGATTTGTATTCTAAAGGTCTCCTATTTCCATCAAATATCTGTTTCAAATCAGGTTCTTGTTGGTAGAGATGGTGTTATTCCCGAATTAAGCTTAATATGAGCCGAATTTCGAAATAACACCCATGCCCACTATTTTGAAAATTTTAATAGAACAAGAAAATTGATTTTCAATAAAATTTCTGCATAGTTTTTTATTAGACACAAAAAATTAAGAAACTCACAGATTTATGATCCTATCCCGCGTGTGATGCGCAGAATTTTTGGAAAAACTGCAATTTGCCCATCTCTACTTGTCGGGATTATGTAATGCCAGTTGGGAACTGATTTGTCTTCATTCAACCTGTGTGTATTATCCCAAAATAACGCCCTGGGGCGTTATTTTGGAATAATATTGTATAGATTAATCAAAAGGTTCGCCATTTGTATGTTGTTGTGAAAACGCGTTATGTGCCAGTAATAAAATTTAATTATTAATATAATGTGTTTATAAGTAATGATAAAAGTAACAATACATTATAAATAGATATACCTACCTAACCCGTACTTAAATAAATCAAATCAATCTGAATAAATCAA